ACTGGAATCTGGCCATGGCAGTGACCTAGGTTTTATCCACAGATGTTAACCATGTCCCATGGCAGTGGCTCTCAAAGTGTGCTCTTGGGACCCCTGGGGATTGCTGAGACCCTTTCAGGGAGGCTATGGGTCAGAACTATTTTCATATTAACACTAAGAAATGACGTGTCTTTTTCACTGTGACTCTCTGTGAGGTATGATTATTCTCACTCTTCAAAGAAAAACACAGGTTTCAAGAGGGTCAGTAAATTAGCCACAAGCATGTACAAAAACGTACAATGGAGTTTTCCATGGTTACATGAAATGTGATATCACAGGAGCTGGAATGCAAAAGCAGATGTAAGAATCCAACTCTCTTCTATTAATCCAGAAATTGAAGAGATTTGCAAAAATTAAAGCAGTGCCTCTCTTATCACTATTTTTTTGTTGTTTTCGTTGCTTTTCACAAAAATATGTTATTTATGTTAACCTGTATGGATTTATTGATATTTTAAGATAACATGAAATATTTTTCAATTTGTTTTAATTTCTTATATGGTAAATATCAATAGATAGAGCCCATGCAAATAAAAGTTTTTTGAAATCTTTAATAATTTTTAAAAGTGTGAAGGGGTCCATGACCAAAAAATTTGAGAACCACTGCCCTACGGGTTAGAGGACCAATGACTTGGAAAAAGCCTGCAGCACCTCTGAATGAATGTGAGGACTGAAGCTGCCCTGCTCTCACTCACAAGGAGGCTGTTACATAGAAGAGAAATTAGTTTATGTGTTATGCCACTACATCATTTTATCTTTTTATTATAGCATCTTGCATTTACTCTAAATAAGAGACAACAGTCACATAAGTGGGATACTACTGTATCTAAAACTGAAATATGTGGCATTGGCTTGCTTGAGCAGTAAGTGCAGAGATATTTTAGGCTAGAAAGTTGATGGCCCTTGTTATGTCATTGCAAAATATTTGGTACAACTATTACTTGTGATAACCTGGAAGGCAATTGATGTTCCTATGGAGCCCATAGCTACAGAAGAAATGGCTAGAAAGAGTTGGAATGTTGGCTATATGCTGACTGCACTCTGTTGCATTTAGCAACATATTACAATAGGTAAACCCAAGAAAAAATTGACCAATTTGCAAGCAGATAAAGAAAAAAGAAAGGTTGAAAAGTAAACTGCTTGTATACCTCCAAACAGAAGAAGACGGCTATTATTAACCACCCTCTATCACTTCCAGAAAAAGAGAACCAGCCCTGAGCCAAAATCCAAACTGTGGATGCTGTTGTTTTATATGGCTTCCAGGTAACTGCCATCAAAATGAGAAAACAAAGAAATAAAGTAGTTTACTACTATATCCAGGAAAGAACTTGGGAGTGTAGTTACGGGCAATGGAACTAACTGGAAACAAAAAGAGAAGCCGCCTACCATATTTTTGAGGAAATGGTTTTACCAAAGTGACCAAAAGCTTGTATTTTTTTTCAAACTTAAAATAGCTCCCAAGGAGTGTAGTCACCAACACGCCACTTTGATGTGGCTGTGCAGGACAATAAAAAATAGGAAAAATTTCCTGAAGGGCAAGGAGTCTCAGAGAGAATGAACAGACAGTTACTCCATGAGAGCAGAAGTTGTAGATGCCACTGGCTAGCCCAGGAAATCACTCCACTGCCAGGGCAAGAACCCTATGCAATCCCTGCCTCTGAGAATTTGCTATGGTTCAGTGACTACTATATACATATATTGCCAAGCTTCCCTTTTCGAAAAGGAGACTTTATTTCACTTCTCTTGGTCTGTTCTTCTGCTGTTTATTGATGGCAGAGAGGCAAGACAAGCTGATGTTTAGTTTATAGGTGGCTGAGTATGAGGAGTTAAACCCAGACTCAATATAGAAAACTGTACATCAAGCAGAGGTTCTTGACTTTTGCACTAGAGAATGGGACTCTGCATCGTTTCTTTGGGGAGTAAGTGAAAACACTCTCTGTGTGGGGAGAAGGAAGCAGGCAGACATTTGATGGCCGGAGGGGCGAACTGTGGTAGAAGCTGCTAGCTAGTTTTCCCCTCCTTCAAGAGCAATGGGACTGTAGCCAGACATCTGGCTTCCCAGTTGGACTGTATTTCCCAGCCTGCCTTCCAATTACAACATGACTAAATTCTCAAAACCACCATGTGAGCAGCAGGGAAGGATGCCACTTCCATTCTGGGACTTTAGACCTTCACACTCTAGTCCCCTTACATGCCAGCTGGAACCCACATATGACAGCAACCCTGCTTCGACTCTATGGATGATGACGATGTCCTAGAGGCTGGCAGAACCACCTGGAAAGAACCGTGATTTTCAAGGAGAAAAGCTGCCCAGCCAATCTGGACTGTTCACATTGATGCTATTAACCAAGAGAAAAGTATACCTCCTTGTTTTATAACCCACTTACGGGTTAGGTCTTACCATCACTGGTATATTGCTGGCATCAGAAATCCCTCTTTTTTTTATACCCTGGACCTGTGAGGAAGTCTTGGGGAAAATTTTTGCATGTGGGTGTATTTGTCCCCATGTGCACTAAAAAAAGCTGGTTAAAAACAAACAACAAAAAACCTTGAGGAGTTGCGTAAAATAAAAACAATATTTAGTCTCTGTCCCTGATTCCTGGCACACAGCTTCTAAAGCCCTTGAAATTTCCTGATAGAAGTGTCGTCTGTTGTTCATAATGAACACCTTCTCACCACGACTGCATCTAAGCTAAGGTGACTCAGGGTGGGGCCCCTACATAACATCAGAATGGGGCTGACTGCAGGGAAGACCAAACATGAAATTAGAAGGCGGGACTTTCAGCCCACCCCCTGACCTCCAGGGAGGGGGAACAGGGTTGGAGATGGAGTTACAAAAACTCTTCAGTAATGAAATTTGGGAGTTTTGGGTTTCATGAACACATTAAAGGGCTGGCCCAGAAAGGGCATGGTAGTGCCACATTCCCAGTCGTATAACCTTGCCCAATCGCATAACTCCTCCATTTGACTGTTCCTGACTTGCATCCTTTATAATAAACTGGCAAATGTAAGTGTTCTCCTGAGTTCTGTGAGTTCTAGTAAATGACTGAACCTGAGGAAGGGATTATGGGAACCCCTAAATTTATAGCTGATTGGGCAGAAGTATAGGTGGCCCCTGGGACTTGCAAATGAAGTGGGGGACTGAGCCCTTAACCTGTGGAGTCCGTACTAACTCCAAACAGTGTCAGAGTTGAATTCAATTTCTGGACACCTAGTTGGTGCTGGAGGATCGGAGAACTGGTGTGGGACATCTCCACACATTTGGTGTCAGAAATGGTACCAGAAAAAAGATACCCCAGGAGTTTAACAGTAGATAAGCTGTGGAGCAGTCAGGGCTGATCTTAACACCTTGCTTTACATAAACTTCAGCTTTGCCTCTGCACTCTCTGAACTCATTCAGTACACAGGGTGGGGACCAGGTTTGGGGGGGAATGCCTGCAGGCCTTGCTATCATGCTGCACCAATAGCCAAGAATCACATGGAATGGCTCCCATAGCATTTTCGATAGTCATTCCGTATGGCAGCGATCCAACCAAAAAAAATTAATTGTTCTAGTGTTTCTCTCTTCAAGGCCAGAGCAATTACAACCAAGCCTTTAAACTGAGTAAGTGGGGAGGTTCTGGACTCTGTGTGAGGAAAAACCTGAGGAGAGGGAAAAGATGCTGCAGCACAGTGCAGTGTGTCCCAACACAGTTAAATCGCAGATTTAAAGAAAGGCTTTATGAAGCTATCTTCTGGCCTTAAACTGCCTAACATCCAGACTTTCTTCATATGAGACATAAAATTATATCTTATTTGACTTAACCCTTTCTGATATAATACCTGTAACATATCAAGCACTTCTTTAAATAAATAAAAAATAGATAAAAAAGTCTGTGGAAATATGGGCAAAGGAAAGAAGGTAATTCACATAAGAAAAAAATATAAATGGTCACCAAGTATCTGAATATACTTAATCTAAGTAGTAACTCAAGAAATGTAAAACTGAAAAATGAAATACCATTTCTAACATATTATGTTGGCAAAAATTTTAAACATGAATTTTATCTGGTTGAAGAGAAAGTGAATTCTATCTGGGAGAAACAGATTCTCTCATTCAATGCTGATGAGACTACACTTGGAAAGACTTTCTGCAGGACAGTCTGGAAATAGCTATGAGGATTGAAAATTCATTTGTATATGAATATGTGCACAGGTGCATGCATGGGTGTAAATGTGTACCATACAGAAAAAGGCCTGAAATATATATAACAAGCTTAACAGTGTTTTTATCAGGAGAGGTGGGTCAATGGAATGGAAGGAGGGTATTAATGAACTTTCACTTTTTAAACCAGGACTTAAAATTTTTATAACCATATATTATTTTTGTAATTAAAAATGTTAAATAAAAAGTCAGTTACACTAGCTTTTCAAAGATTAAATTGATATACTAAATGTTTTCATTGATTTATTTCCCTTTAAAATAGATGTATTGGGTGCAGAGCATGCATTACTCAAATTTGAGTAAATTTTGGCAATCTGAACCCTACTTTGTTAGAGGTAGGTAGTTTAGTATTTCACAACCCAAGGAAGAGGGCTTCCTTAATTGGTAACAGTGCAAATACAGGTGATGTTTTATATCCCTGGGCAGTAGCGAATGAGACTTGTTTTTAGGAAATAAAGATTAAAAATACAATCTTAGGGAAAGATTTTGAAATAAAGGTTACATGGATTAGCATTTTTAATAAAAATAATTAATTCTGCTATTAGTTTTTGTCTTTTCTTTTTGGCAGAGACTGTCTTCAATTTTTAAGCTCGTGTGCCAAGGAAATGACCTTCTGCTACCTCATACTGATGTACTTGTCCATTTTCAGACCAGGACTCATTCCAAATAACAGCAAGTCTTCCAAGAAACGTCTTTTTAAAAAATCTCAAAGTTTTTAATTAAAAAGCAGGTCATTTAAAATATAAGGAGATATTCTTACTTGGTCCTCAAAAGATAGAGCCTGGGCAACATCTCTTGGAAATCCATCAATAACAATGCCCTCTTCATCAGGTATCTGCATCAATCTCTGTTTTATCTCCGTAATTGTTGTTTCCTTTTACAAAGAAAAAAAGGATTAAAAAATCACAGCTAAACTTAGTCTAAAAACTACTGAATTATAGAAAAAAAGCAAATTATATAGCAGTACCTGTGGGGCCAATTCTCCAGTTGTAATTATTTTGGCAATAAGACTCCATTTCCTGTTGCTGCTGGTACTGTGGATCTTCTTTCTTAATAATTCTCCCACTGAAATGTATTGGAATCCGTAACGTTCTGCGATTTTCAAACTCTGAGTACCCTTTCCACTTCCTGGACCACCTATGATTTAAAACAGGCAAAATTGTGACTTTCTGCTACAACAAGAAACTCCCTTTTTTACAGTGACTACGTTCATCTTCAGATGCACCTTCTAGACTAACAGTACCAGGGCAGGTGACTGTTGCACTCGTGGCATCTCAATCCCATTCCTGAACGCAGAGCAAGTGGAGATTAACCAAGGAAAAGGTAGATTTGAGATCACCCGCATTAAAAGAAAGAGACAGTTTTTCCTTTATGTATTTTAGTAAATAACTAGTTAAAAATTTTTTGAACAATGCTGTTGAAAGAAACCTTTACTGTTTTTTCTATGTAAGCTCTCATAATTTTTCCTCATAAATAAAAATCTATGGCATAGGAAGGATGACGACTGAAATAATAGACTTGTGTTTCATGTCAACAAAGAGTTAATGTGCAATATGGTGAAATATAATAATTATATTTGAACCAATATTGATGTAACTTATTTAAATCTTTTTTGAACTTTTTCTGTTCATGCATATCCTTGTTTTATCTTTTAAGTTCAAAAGAAGTTTTATGCAGTAAGTATGCAGAGTGAATGAAATAGATCCTTAAGGTAGAAAAATTTTACAGAACTCATGAAAATTTTGATTTTGTGATACATTAGTGCGAAATAATCAACATTTTGCAATATAACACAATACTAATCATTAGTAGTAGCCATTTAGTTTTAAAAGCATAAGTACTAAAATAACTAGAAATAAATGGCTCAGATTTTACTTTCAAGTCATATTAGATTATTTTAGTTAATTTATATTTCTAAACAACCTAAATGAATTGGAATCTAAAGTTTGAACAAATTTCAGAATAAAGCACATAGTAACCAGCCCAGTCTGATTTATTTGTTGACAATTATCAAAATGAAATGTTTTCAAATACATAAGCATAAATTATTGACTGTAGACAAAATAACGTTAAAGTCAATGCCTAAAGAGTAATGAAATGCTTTGGTAATATTGAGTAAAATAAATTGTAATTTATCAAGCAATATTGAAAATAAAAATTCAATAGAAAAGTGAGTTGATGTTCTCCTTACTAATTCAATATATTAAGTTTAGGGCGGGAAGAAGTTATTTTATATGTAATTATTTAGTAAACATTTTTTTGTTCTTGTCCCAAATAACATAAATAAAAAAGAAAGACAGGTGTATTTTATTGTTTTGGTTTTTGAAAGAAAAGTTCCAACTGGGTAGACTTAGTTGGCCAGGGCTTAATTCCTAATTAAAAAATTTAATGTGAAGAAGTCTAAGATCAACTAATCTAATGATAACCATTTCTTAACCCCAGCTCCAAGTAATGTACCCAATAATATCTGGCGTTCACCTTTTTATTGCTTTATTAAACTTAGTATAGGAATTTGTTTATAGTTTTGCTAATTCTTTTTCTAAGAACCTCTACGTAATATCCTATTAGATTTAACATTATGAACTATTACCAGATTAAATTCATTACTTTGCAAATCAGAAGTTAGTTTTGGTTCTGAATAGCTGCTTTTAGCCTATTAATCTATGGGCAAATCATGGACTGGCTTAAGGAAAAAGAATTATATGACCACTCCATCAAAGATTAAAACTGATTTGATCCCTGAAGAATGAAAGTTATCTTTCATAAACTATATTTTCACACTTAATCTTACAAACCATCAAACTAATTGATTATAAATTCCACTGAAAAATTAAAATTAAACACATTAACAAAGTTATTGCACCATCACAGAAAAAAAATTTTTTGTCAACTATTGAAGGCAATAGCAGACAAAAAAAATATGATTAGCACAATTGACAGAGAATAGCATTAATTTATTGGATGAGTTTGATTACTGAAACTTCCTAAAAAACTAATTTTACTTGCTTTTCTCTGAAATCAGAGTGAGCTTAATTCTGTTCTATTTATCTCTAATACTTATAAATATAAGTATCCATCTAACTTAGATTTTATAACTACGTTAACAAAAGAGAGATCCATATCTTTGCCAAGAAGGGCAATTTAAAATAAAATTCTGTTTCTCCAGACGGGAAATTTTGTTTATTTGGATGTAATACCATGTGGGTGTCTGTACCTCCCCCACCACTTTTTCATGTTGGAACTAATAAAAACTTATAAGGTTCAGATACAATTATTTTATAATTCCTCAAAAGTGATAAAATTGCCCCAATTTTCTTCAAAAACCAAAGGTTTGGCTTTTCCTCTCTTTTTAATCTCAATCCTCTAAAAGTTATTTATAATCATTGGTTTTGTACCATTCTTGTAGTACAGAAAATGTTACAATACAGCATGCAAATCTAAAACCAAAAGCACACCCTTGGAAAGCAAGTTGATTTTACTGAGTAAAAAAGGAACTGTGAAGGGGAGATTTGAGCATTTATATCTTCTCCAAAGATCCTGGTTTAATGAAATATTTTAATCATTTTTATATAAAATCCACAATCATAAAACATTCACCTATGGCTGTTTTACACAAAAGCAATTTGATATTACACTTTTTCATGGTCAATCAAGCCTCCTTTGCTCATTATATCAATAATCACCAATATTTTACTAACAGCAACAGGAAAAGCAAAATTGAAAGTATATTTAATTATAAAATGGTGAAATAATTTCCAATTATTATTCACCGGTAGCTCTTTTAATAAAGCATTTCTTTGTCTTATAGCTAAGGACTTCAAAATTTTAAGAACACACACAAAAATTCCATCTTCAAGAACAGATAAAAACTTATGACATAAGAGCGACTAACTATACACTATAAGAATACTTTGACTTTTGTAAAATTGATTTCTATGTTTTCTTCCTTTATATTATTTCAAACAATTCAGGATTAAATATCTTTGTCATTTCATTTTCATTACACTTAGAGATATATAAACACAACTCCTTCTAGTCCGGTGAACTTAAATCCTTATTATAGTTGGTGTGTTTATTTGCATCCTTCCCCTAGTTCCCATCACCGTTACATTTTTAGGAGCAGTTCTTCTTTGCATGAAGGCTGTATACACTTTGTTCTCTGTTAACCACTACTGGCTAGAATGGCTTTCAGCATTTTCACATTCAATTTCTGCTTTTGGTAATCTCTATGAAAGCTGAGTCAAACTGGAAAGTGAGACGATGACTACATACGTTTCACGTTCACAGGCCTCTTAATAATTTTAATAGATTTTGAGGAAGCTAGAATTTGTAAGAGTGGTCAAAAATGCATTCTGGAAAAAATACTTTAAAAAACATTTTCGATATCTATTCCTCATGAAATGGCATTGGACTGATATTTCCATATTCATAGTAGTGATTTTAAAAGTTATTATCATTATTTGGATTAATTCTCAGATGTTATGTGCTGTGTAAAACACTACTCTTTTAGGTATGCTTGTCTAACAACATCGAAAGTTACGTTTTATTGGAGTTGCTCATTTGTCGTAAGGAAGAGGAAGATTTACTTACATGAGTCTTTACCAACATATTATTATTATTATCATTATTCCTTCTAAAGTTAATAGTGAATAAATATTCAAGTTGTTGAGTTAAAGGGGAAAATACATCATGTTTCGAAACTTCTGATAAATTCAGTTATCTATGTTAACAATTAAACAGACAAAACCACAGGAAAAAAATTTTGAAGGGATCAGTACTTTTTTTCAATTCATTATAGACAATTTCTACGACGCTGTAATGGATTCTATAAAAATACAATAGCATTAGATTATAAAATTATAACAATTTCTGTTTTACTGAAAATTATGCTAAAAATATTTCTATCTACTGTCTCCTGAGCTTTTGTTTCTATTGTTTGTCATTTTGCAAATGGGATAGTACATAATTGATGTAATTTTTTCAAATGTAAACACACACACAAAGTTAGAAGTAAGATGAGAGTTTTGCTTTCTATCCTCATACCTATGACAAGAATGATTTTTGGTCGAGGTCTAGTAGGATCAAAAACCTCATATTCCTCAATTAACTCTGCAGTCTCGGAGAGGTCCGTATCGCTTTCTATGGAGAATTGATGGATTGGAGGGAGCCGATCATACCGCCGATATGGAAAGTTTGAATTTTCAGGCATTACTGCAAAAGAGTAAGATAACTTTGAAAGGGAAAAAAAGTAACATAACAAAACATTTTTTGCACTTACTCAATTAGAAAACATTTAAAAACTAAATGAGTTTGATTTTTTTCAACTTGAATAAGAAAAAGTGGTCAGCAAACTTTTTCTTCAAGGGTCAGATAGTAAAAATCTAAGGGACATACAGTCTCAGACTCAACTTGGCCACAGAAGCAGGAATGCAGTCAAAGACAACACACAGGGAGGGGCAAAAGTAGGTTTATAGTTGTTCATATGGAAAATAATACATAACAATAATATAAGAATAAATTGTATTTTGCATACTCATAACTATAAATCTACTTTTGCTCCAAATAAACAAATAAATGTGCTTGTGTTCCAATAAAACTTTATTTATAAAAACAGGCAGTAAGCCAGAGTTGGCCCATGGGTCACGGTTTGCCAACCCCTACACCCTGAGGGAACCGTCTTAAGTGTTGCCTAGTCTTGTTTGGTCATTTGTATACATCCTGGTCTCTGCAAACGGTACTCCCCAAAACTGTGTAGTGCACAACCATCAAAACTTTCACAACCATATGTAATTGCCCATGGAGTCAGTGCTTATGCATAATGTATTTCATTTATTTAATAAATATAGCTACACATTGACTATGATCAAGGCACTCCAGTGCAGTCCAGTGGAATGACTTGGTGGCATAGTGCACAAAAACCCAGGGTACTGTTACAAGACAGGGAAAAGGGTTGCAAACAATTTCTACATTTAGAATATCTTTCAACATCATTAAATTTTATTTTCCCAATATTTATTTTCTTTAACCTCCTTGGTTTATAAATGTAACTGTGAAGATTTAAGTCTGCCATCTACAATGGCAGGAGTTCAATGAATAGGTAGATCTATTTGGGTTGGANTTACATCTACAATGGCAGGAGTTCAATGAATAGGTAGATCTATTTGGGTTGGAGAAGTAGGAAAGGACTTGCAAAAGAGGCACAACCTGAACTTTGACAGACCAGTACAGGCGATGAAATGTGGAAAGTCTATTTCAGTTGTTGGAAACAAAACACAATGACTCAAGAGTCAGAAATACAAATGAAATATTCAAAAGGACCTGAGAACAGAGCTGGCAAGTCCAAATCAGGCAGGTGATCTTAACCAGTTGTCAATATATAATGAATTCATGGCTCCTGCCTTCCTCACCCCATGTGTCAGTATTCCAGGAGGCACAGAGAAGCCCTAACTAACCAAAAGACACCTGCACAAAGGAGACAGGAGGCCACCTGGCCTTCCATGATGGGACTACTGAATTTTAGTGTGGCATAATGCTCACACCTCCTTCCAGGGTATTGATCAGACAGAAATTTCTATTCTCTGTTCATATGATAAATGAGGTCACTGACTACTGTCACACTGGACTCACTTTAGTTTCACAAAAGGAAGGGAGTAGTCTGCAGATGACAGTGGATATGCTTTAGAAAATTCTGGGAAGGGCTACATCAGGAAAGGCACTAACCACAGTATCCTGTTCTGCCTTGAAACTGAATTGCTTCACCCAACACAGGGCAAAACTAGGCATTATCTTTGATTACTTTCTTCCCTCGCTCTTCACATCTACATCCATAGACTTTAGCTCTAAGACATTTCCCAAGTCCATCTCCTTCACCACAACTCTTCCCCAAGCCACCATCATTTACCTGACCTACTATAAGAGACTCTTGCAGGTATGCCTGCTTCCAAGCTTGTCCCAACAATTCATTGCCTAAAATGTTATTCCTCTGTGGATGACTGATTCTTGTCTTTCACGTCCCAGCTTAAATGTCACATTCTATAAAGAGCACTTTACTGACTTTTTAATCTAGGGTAGCCACCCAGTTAATTTCAAGGACGTCACTCCAATAATGATCTGCACAGCACCTACCACTTCACATCTGAGAGGTCTCTTACTCATTCATTCTTTGTCTTTTCCTATTAGGATGTTAAGTTCCAGGCCAGCAGGAACCCTGTATCTAGAGTTCTGTATCCCTGGGATCTAGAACTGTGCTTGGCACAGTCAGTGTCCAATAAATATTTGTTGAATTAATAAAGAGAACAACCTTGTTGAAATAGACGGTTTCCCATGGAGAAAAGCCAGAGGATGGGTAGGTAGAGTGCGGCTACAATGTGGAGGGCTTTGAACACCAGAGTAAAGGTGTTTGTTTAGCTTTAACCTGCTAGAAAGCCAGTGGAGGTTTTTGTCGGTGGGGAGAGAGGTAGAAAAGTGACATAATGAAATATGAAGTTTTGAGGGAAATTAATCTGGTGGTGGTTAGAATAGATTTGAGTAGGGAGAGACTAGGAGCAGAAATAGTAGTTGCTAAGAGGCTGTTGAAGTAATCCACAGGTGAGAAGTAAGGGATTATGTCAAAGGGGTAGTAGGGGAAATGGAAATGAATGCTTGGATGTCAAGGACATAGTTAGAACTGGGACAAGAGAAATGAAAGCAGGTGACAGCTCAAAAACAATTGCCAGGTTTCAAGTCTAAAAGAGTAAGGAACACATTGCGTTTCATATAGTATCTTTCTGCCCTCTCTTCTGTTCCAGAAATACTGAGCTTCTCTCACTCCCGTCTATATCACAGCCTCTTCTCCACATCGGGAACTTCTACCATCTCTGCTCCTTGGTATACCTCAATCTCATCCATCCTTCTCTAGCTAACACCTACTTGGTTTACTGGCTCTGAATCTCAGCATGTCACTTCTTCTAGGAAGTCTATCCTGAAGCTCAGCCTAGACTAGATCCACCCTCCTGTTAATATGGTTAGTTCTATAGCACAGGACATTTCCTATAGCACCCACTGTGCTTCTAATTATATTTTTAACACCTGACTTCACTGCTGGGCTGTAAGCTACACAGGGCAAGATGCCATGTTTGCCCTTTCTTGGTGACTACATGCTCAGTCCTAAAGGAGTGTCTGACACATAGTACTCAATAAGTGGTTATTTTATTGCTCAAATGACTCACTGGATTCATGGAAATGGGAAAAGGAAAAGGGAGTGTTGGTTTTGAGGGAAATATGGTATGTTTCTATGTTTGGTTTTCGGGTATGTTGAGCACAGAACTACAATGTGACAGTCCAGAAGAGAAGCTCTATGTGCACTGGCAACTACGGGACTAGAACTCTTATTCACAAGCAATTATTTGTTCACCTGTATACATACAGCAGAAGAAAACAGATGCTCACCTCACATTTATAGTAAAATGCTTTAAAGAACTGTCAGCCAATAATTTATCCTTGCTTTGATCATATTTTTACTTAGGAAAGTAATTTGTTTAAGTGATTAAAATGTTTTATGTCATAGAATATTTTTTCATGATAATTACATATTAGCACAGCTATGTCAATATTTTATCAAGAAGACACGAGTAACTTTGCATTTCTAGAAATAATCATAATGCTTTAATTTACTGTGAAGTCAGCAATTTTGTTGAATTTAAAACCTATTCCATAAATTATAGCCAAAACCTATGAAGCATACCTGTGTAAAGCATTTCATTAAATAAAATTTAACTACTGCAGGACAAATCATTGTCTGTCTTTCAGCATCCATTCCAGAAAAAGGGCAGTGTGATACACAGTCCTGTCACCATAGTACATGGAAAGGTTCTGTTTGATGATTAATGAAAAGGTCTTTGGGTGGGAATTCTCAAAGTATTAACAGGTATGGAGACTAAAATTGACAAGCAACTTAAATTCTAATGTAAGTTAAACCTACATTTTCCATTCCTGTTTTAGCTTCTCCTGCCCAACCAGGAGTTACAAACTGATCATCTGTGGGCCCAACAGAACCCCATTGATGTGTTCTGTTCAGCTTGACATTTTTCCAAAATTTGTTCTTGACTTTAGGTGATAACTATTCTCTCCAGTTCTGCCCTTTAATTTGACCACACTCCCCACCATTCTTTATTACACCCTGGTCTGCGTAGCTTCTGTGTATGATCAAGTCACATAACAGTACAAAATAGAGACAGATTTTGTTGTGTTGCAAAACTGTCACTTTATAAACTCAGTCTGAGAGCAACTTTTCAACTAAGAGAATGTCGTATCTTCTTAGATTTAGATTTAAAAATGTAAACATTTCTTAGACTAAATCCAGTAATACCTGAGGTTTGTTAGTTCTTTAAGGTTTAAAAAGCAGTTACCCGTATTTGTCTCACTTGATTTAACTAGGGCATGGGGCATGTATTTAACATTGAGCCAGATTCTAACAGGATGATGACACCCTGGGAAGTAAGTTAGCCATTTTGGGAATGTGTATGAACTTTTCAGACCCATGAAAATATAATTTTGTTCACCGAAGCAGTAATTTACTATGTGGTGTGCTGCAGCAGTAACTGGCTAAAGGTGCTCTCTTGAGCATCCAATTCCAAATCACCTAGTGATGACTGCTGCATGGACAGGGAAGGATTCTTCTCATCTCTGGAGATGTTTCTGAGCAAATGTTTCTGCTTTCCCTTTCAGTTTGTGTTTTTTAAAAATTAACACATTTGACTTTGTCCCACGCTGCATTCAGATAAAATCCAAGTGGGTCATGACTAAGTAAGATAAATTACCATTTATTTCCCCTTGTATTTATTGCAAATAGAATGATGTCCATTTCAGATTCTGTCAATGTAGCTGAAACTTTTCACTGGTACAATTTTTGAGAATGGTTTAAATTTGGAAAATATAATGATCTTGGCTACTGGGAAATAATTAATTTAGTTTCCCTGGATTGGAACTGATTCCATTTTGCACATACTATTATACATCTCAATTTCATCCAGGCTGATGCTGAACCACTAATTTTGATAAGCACATATTTCAGAAAGATATCAGAATACCACGGATCTCCTCTAGCAAACTCTAGTTCTTAGTTTCATATTATTCCTAAAATTGTTAAACATGTTCATATATTCTACTTCTTTTATAGCACTCAAATGCCTAATCTAATGTATTACATTCAGTAGCTGCTTAATAAATCCTGTTGAATTACCAAGTACAAACTTAACTTTACATGCATTTATGCAGATGTATTAATATGAACTCTGAATTTGGAAACATATTAATAAATCACATCTCTTCCCAGCTAGTAATAACTATCAATGTTGTCTGTCATCTATTCATTTATCTGGAAAAGCCTTATTTGCAATTTTAGGAACATTTCATAGTTTGCTAATGCAATTCATTCCACAAAATAATGAAGTCAGTGATATAAAACTTCCTTTGTAGTCAAGTGCTGGACAATGGTACGTAATTTTGTCTTACCATAGAGGTGATTAGAATTAGTAGCAGAGAGAGAGAGAGAGATTGAATCATGTTCCAGGGCCAAATATCCTTCCAGGAGTTTGGAAACCTAATAAATTAAATCATTGCCTAGAGTCTATATGGTGTGTTTAATGAACACTGCTAGAACGATAGACTGTCTGTTATTCTACATATACATTACCAGTTCTTAGAAAGGATCTCCGTGACTGTCCTCCATTGAGGGGAGGTAAGGTCTTCTTTTCCTGGCTGACAAACGTATCCCATTTCACCTTGTCACAGCCACCTAGTTCCTTTACTTTCTGCAAACAACTTTCCAAGTACTCTACAGGGTCTTCGGGCTTAGAACACATCAGTCCATTCAAAAGGCTCTGAAACACAACAGAATGTTTTAAAACCACCTTTCTTAAAATAGTGTATGTACCACCTCTAAATTCTGGGTTGCTTTCATTCTTTGCATTTGTCTTTTAATAAACAATTAAGACTTGAAGTTATTATCTGATTAGGATAACCTCCTAAATTCTTGAGCAATTAGTTTTCAGCTCAGCATTCTCTGCTTTTTGAACAATTCAGGCAACTGTATAGTTTAAAATAGAACAATTCTATCAAAGTGAGGTAAAGTGCAGTATGTAAATATGCCCCACTCACTATTGATCTCATTCCTACCCACCCTTAAAGTCTCCAAGCCACAGTTTCTTCCTGTGTAAAATGGGAGTAATAATACCTGCCTCAGAGGGTTTTGTTAAGGACGAAAATTTATTTAATATTTTTAAAATGCATATTAAGCACCTGGCACATAATAAGTACTCAATAAATGTTATTGGTAGTTTTAGTTAATATTATGAGGAAGTGTCCCCTGAGCCCTCAGGTTGGATTGTGGAACTCTTCTTGTGTGTTCCCACGGTACCCAGAGAAAAAGCTTACCTATCATTTACACTGAAATCATAAATGATTTGGTTTATGTGTCAGTTTCCTCATTTAAACTAGCAACCTTGCTTGGCTGGGCGTGGCTCAGTGGTTGAGCATCGACCCAGGATCCTGCAAATCATGGTTCGATTCCCACTCAGGGCACTTGCCCAGGTTGTGGGCTTGATCCCCAGTCGGGGGCATGCAGGAGTCAGCTGATCAATGAGGACTCTCTCACCATTGATGTTTCAACTCTCTCCCTCTCCCTTCCTCTCTTTGAAATAAATAAAGATATATTTTTAAAAATTTATTTTAAGCTAGAAACCTTTCAACAACACAGTGTGGGTCTTATGTATTTTTCAATTTCCAGCCCCTGACACTTTTCCCTGGCACACAGTAGGTGCATATTGAACAGTTTTCTAATTAGGAAAAACATTTCACTCAAAACAGGAAGTCTGAAACTCAAAAAAATGTTATTTGATATATAATAAGCCACTATAATATCCACTGAGGGTGAAGAGGGAGGGAAGAAAAGCATAATCCCGTATTGCTTTTTCTGTTCTTGGTGTCTGATATGTCACATGTACTAGTTTCTAAAAATGCTACTAATTTGGAAATGTTGACTCCTGGGAACAGGATTAGTGTGCAAAATATTTTCCTTTAGAGTATTTCATGTGAAAAGCATTGGGGATTATTATCACCAATGTGCATTTTTAATGCATAAAACACACACCCTTTCAAAGGCTGAAATCTTTCCTAAATAGTGTGTTCTATTTTCAAATTATTCCTGTGCAATTTGCTCAAAATGGTAGGCAATTCTTACTAGGTACATTTGTTCTCTGAAATCCTAAATCGTGTGGTTAGAGTGTTCAATCAAAAAAGTCCAATTGCAGATGGAGGGGGAAAAACTAAGTTGGGCATCCACATCAAGTTTGTATGTCAAAATCTGTGCTACACACACACTCAGTTTAACTTCTCATGTTCCTCTCTGCTAACATAGTTAACTGTGGCAGTGCTTACTCTGTGTCTTTGCACACGTTAGCTTACCCAATGCACTCTCAGCTCTGTGCAGCATCATGATCCTCATTTTATAGAAGGAAATCATGGCTCAGAGAGGTTAGTGAGTTGATCAACGTTCCTCATCTAGAAACTCATAGGCCCAGGATTCCAACTCAGTGTTTCTGATTTGAAAACCCATATAGTCCTTTCTTTACATCTTGCAAAAATATGATACAGGATGAAAAGAAAATGCCAGGTTATCTGTGCCCCACGCATAATCCAATTACTATATGAATCAGTCAAGGTTTGGTCTTTTATTTTTTTTAATCTTTATTAGGGCCCAAAGTGGGTAAGTTTACTCAATGAAGTTTTTGGTTTTTTTCTTTTACTGAAAAATATACATTTCTAGCTTCTTTAATAAAAACTGATTCCCTGAAGTATGTTGATTTTAGAAGGTGGGGGGATGAGTTCCACTCACGCATGGATTATTTAAATCCTTTCTTTTAGTAGCCAGTCATCACCACAGATCTCAGATAAACAGCAAACTTTATCACTAGTCTCTGAGTGAATAGTTTGATAGATATCGAATTGTTAAACTTTCTTATCTAGAAACTCTGTATACCTATATTGTGGTTTTGAGACAGAAAATCCATTTTGCAAAACTTAAAAATATTTGGTTTTGCTGTCTACATTCATCCCATAAAGAAATGCCAGGTTTTGCTTCTCTCCCTGCTGTGCACAGCACAGATTCCTTTTACTGGAAGGCCTTTGGAGGTCACCAGCAGGCTTCTTCCATCTTCCACTGTCCAGGGTTGCATTTAAGTATACTGTATTACTGCATTTTTCCTAGGTGAGTTTACTTTCTTTGGGTGTGTAATATTTTAAAATGTCCCATTCAGATGCAGGAAAGACAAAAAAAGAAAAAGCATAGCTCCTGGCCAACAACAACAACAAAACCTGCCATTACTTCTTTGAAACACACAGTGCAGGTTTTCATGAACAAACTATCAAAATTCTCTGTGGTTACCTCCCACCAAGGAGGAAAAACAGTACCCACATTTATTTATAAGTAAAAGATGAGCTATTAAGCAGCACTTTACAGTCAGGTGACTCTCTGGCAGATGCTGCGAGTTATTCTTTTACACGTGTAGAAATGAAACTGATGTTCATCCGCTTATTTACTTTTTGAAAATTGAAAAAGAAAAATTCTTAACAAGAAGCCTACATAACCTCAAGACCTGTCCTTACACAACACCTCCTGATTATTTTCAAGCACAAGTAAATACACTTGTTGGATTTTGGGCTTCCCATACCAGGCTTGTGCTTAGTAGGTGGTTTACCTGAAACTCTTGGCTTCAGGCAGACCTCAAAACGGTGGCTTACAGAGGTGAACAAGAAAAGATCTGTAATCGTGGGGGCCCATTTTAAAGATAATTTGGAAAACCAGGGCAAAAGTCTTCTCTCGAAGGGTGTTTTAAAATTCCTTTTGACCGAAGAAACCCCGCAAAACAGGTAAAAGGGCAACTCACGACCTTTAGTTGACTGTATCCGTCTACAGCCATCCTCTTAAGAAAATGGGGGGCAAGCAAGGTCTGCACTGAATGGGTTTCCCCTTTCGGGGCTCGCTCCGTGAAGCTGGGCAACGATCCGTTCTTTTCTGTTTTTTTTTTTTCCCCTTAACCTAAGCATTTTAAAATTCAAATATGAAGAGAAGTAAAAGGAAGCAAAATGGTCCGTGACGGAGACTGTGGTTTAGAACTAACCGAGGTTCCTTTAGTTCCCCAAGCCGCCTCTTCCACCTTCTCCAAGGGTCCCCCACGCCC